TATAATTGTGGTGCCCCATCACATATGCAATAGTCTACTTACTGTATAACACGTGTCAATATAGGCCTACATGTTTGAAAGTCTCTATCCCCTCTCTCTTCACTCATCACTCTTCACGCTCCACACACTCTCTCTCTCTCTCTCTCTCTCTCTCTCTCTCTCTCTCTCCCCACTCGCGATTCTGCTCTGCTCTCTCCGTCCCTCCCGACTCGCGACCAAGAAGCCCTAGCTCTGCTCTCTCTTGTCCGACCCCCTCCGCCTCCTCCGGTGACCCAACAGCTCCCCTCCAAGCGAGGATGAAGTCCCCTTCACGCCCTTGAGCACTCCAATCCTCATGTCTTTGTTCCATCAAATTCTTGCCACGAGAACTTGTCCACTAGCGGTCAACGATGGCCGTTGACCTAAAAAAATCCAGCTATGGCCGCCACTGACCCTGGTTGACCTCAAATCAACCTAGATTCGAAGTTGAGCTAAGCTATAGATCCCTCAGTTTGACCTCAAATCAACCTAGATTCGAAGTTGAGCTAAGCTATAGATCCCGAATCTAGGGCTCGCTCGAGCTTAGATTGAAACTCTGAGGCTCAAGTTCACCGACCGAGCTCGAGCTCGAGACGGCAAGGACGAGCCGCAACTAGGCTAGTGGTGATCAGAGGCGAGGGTTCATCAGCCGAGAGCAGAGGCTTTAGTGGTGATCTGTTGGGAGGGGTTGGGGGAAACAGAGATCTCATTGGCAGTTGAGGGTGGAAGGATGGTGTTGTGGTGGTGGAAGGCCACAAGGTGGTGATGAACGGAGGATTAAGACGGCGATGAAGTGGTGGTGGAAGGCAATTCACAGGGTTGAGTTGACCACGAGTATGAGTTGAGTCTGTTTGTTGGAAGAAGAAGGAAAAAGAAAGAAAAAAAAGTAAAAATATATAATTGACACGTGTCACACACTGAGTGGATTATTATATAAGTGACGAGGCACCATAGTTATATGTAATATTTTCTCGGCACAACGATCCACCCCCACCAATAAAATGTTTATAAAAAGTATATTTCATATATGTTTTACACAAAAATATTCTTTACACATTTCATTTGTATATCTCACATATTTGGGGATGTGATATTAAGATCATATCTCCCCCATTTACTTTGGTAGACTTGAATGGCGCGTGCATCAAAGATTGGACCGTATAATGTTCCTATTGACCACATCCATTCCCAATCCCATGGTTCCTTCTCAAAGACCTTGATACATCACACCTCTCTCTCTCTCTCTCTAAAATCTCAAAAACTCCAAAAACCCTTTTTCCTTTTCTTGTTGTTTTCTTGACCGGACTGTTCTCCCTTGTACTAAAAAGGAGGTATCATTTTAGCCAAAACGCAAATCCAGCCTCTCTCTCTCTATCTCAAGCTTTCTTGGGACCTTTTTGCTTTATTCTCTCTTTTTCTCCACGGACTCCCCAGTTCCAACACGCAGCTCTTTGAAAAATCGGATGATTGATGCAGACCAAGATTTCTGGGGAGGGGGATGCAAGTAAGTTTTCACTAAACGCAAAACCAGCCTCTCTCTCTCTCTCTATCTCAAGCTTTCTTGAGACCTTTTTGCTTTATTCTCTCTTTTTCTCCACGGACTCCCCAGTTCCAACACGCAACTCTTTGAAACATCAGGATGATTGATGCAGACCAAGATTTCCGGGGAGGGGGATGAAAGTAAGTGTTGTGAAAATATGTCAGACAAGCGAATCAGATAATAGGTAGAAGGAAGGAAATAAATTTGCTATTAAATTTACGTGGTTCGATTAGAATATTAAAATCTGTGATCACGGGAAGAGCAGTATAGAATTTCATCACAGAACAAGCAAAACACAGGAGATTATAATAACTCAGTACTCAAATACTCTCCAGATGTTTCCCAACCGTTAATTACACTCAATAACTCACTCAGTAATTAGCCTCTCACAATTACAAATGAAATCTTGCTCAAGGAATTACACAAATTCTAATCACAAAAACTTAATTTGCTAAATCGCTACAAGGTATAATTACAACAAGCAAAACCCTCACGAGAAGAATTCTTTGCACAATTCCCTTCTGTGCAGTCTCAGAGTTCAATCTTCTCTCGGTGCTCAAAGGCACACCTTCAACGTTAAGAAAACTCCTCTATTTATAACCAAGAGAAGCCTCCCATCATTCATTGCAATTTGCAATACGAGGAAGTCTTCTTCAGTGGGTTGAAAACAGCAGAAAGTATCATGGGAGCTCCACCTATTCTTTCCCTCTTGTGCAGCTACGCTTGAAGACAGTTATAAAGGGACAAAAGAAGCCCATACCTTTTCATCAATTATTCAATCCGCTGACCCCACAAATAAATAAATAAATATTTATATAATATGTGAGCCCTTCTTCTGTGTGAACAAAAGAAGTCTTTCTGCGGCAATAAAGTCAGCATGCCAAAGAATCCAATGTGCAAGACAAATTGGACTTGGAGAAGGCAACAAGTTACTCGCAGTCAATTGTCTCACGCATGTTGAAATCTCGACCAATAATTCTCGTACGCAAGTTTTTGACTCGGTAGTAGAGTTCACACATTTTTAAGTTGATTTTTGTTCAATGAACTCAAATTCGAGACATATTTTAACAGTAAAATACCACATGTATCAAAGATTGTCACAGTCACTATTTCATTCCTTCTGAGAGAGAGAAATTAGAAGAGAACGCGCACAATAGACCAATGCAATGTCATTCATCTCCCTAAAATCCACTCCACCCGTGACCCCCCATAATGGGCCAATCAGCCACACTCATCCTACCCATTCTCCTTTTATTCTTATTAAATAAATTCATCGTCAAGGGGATCGTTCCTCAGTGGACCAAGTCCACGTGGACTCGACCCATCGTAATCATTGTATTATATAAGCTTACGTCAGACCTCGCAAAATCGATGGATCGAGCTTACGTGAACTCGATGCATCTTCGAATTTCTTGCTACTAGACCGGACTTGCAAGAGCAATCGCGACATGGAACATGTGGCAAAAAATTGAAACTTTATGAAACCCCCGTTGAAATAGTTATTTTCGAATCATCGATCGGATTCCTTTAGTCCTGATTTTATACATGGGTCCTGTCGACAGTTGGACGACTATCGTAGAATTCTATGGTTTGGTTTTTTAACAAATGTACCCGCGACACACTTTACAAAATCCTTTACATATCTAACGGTCGTGCCATGGAATTGAGCGGCCATGTTCTTGGGCACTTCCAAGAAGAAAAACAAAAATGGAAGAAGAAAAGAGAACCACACACTTACTGAGTCCAAGGATGGTGTCTCTTCTCTCTCAAATTCTAGAACGTGGTGGTCGAGAAAATATTGCGTTGCGGGGCCACCACACTTTTCACTTCTACTTTCACCCATTCCGTCACTCTCTCTTCTCCGTTACAGTCTCTCTACACCTTCTCCTCTGTTGCAGGCCTATGCAACATTTTCTCCCCATAAAAAGCTCACCCCCAATGGCCTCCGCCAACCCCAACCCCGACTCTTCTTGATCGTCTCCTTCTACCACACCCAGAGATCTCCAAGGAAAACCTCAACTTTCACTCCCACTGAATGACGGAAATGAAGGAGTCTTGGACATCTGTGGCCTCCCTCCTGGGCACCCTGGCCTTCTGCCAGACCCTCCTCCAGGTGGTCCTCCCGCCGGAGCTCCGCTCCGCCTCCCTCAGGTTCCTGAAGCACGCCCTCGGCTGCTGCTACTCCTACTGCTACTTCGAAATCGCCGAGACCGAGGGCGTCAACACCAACGAGCTTTACAAGGCCGTCCAACTCTACCTCAGCTCCTTCGTCTCCGTCTCCTGCAGCCGCCTCTCCCTCAGTCGCGCCCGCAACTCCAGCTCCACCACCTTCGTCCTCTCGAACAACGACTGCATCGCTGACGTCTTCGACGGCGTTGCCGTCCAGTGGGAGCACGTGGTGACGCAGCGCCAGTCCCAGCCCTCCTCGAGGGGCGAGGCGCGCGTCTTCACGCTCCGGATCAGGAAGTGCGACAGGGACCGTATCCTCGACTCCTACCTGGACTACATCATGGACAAGGCCAACGACATCCGCCGCAAGAACCAAGAACGCCTCCTTTACACTAATTCGCACGGCGGGTGGGGACCGGTGCCGTTCAAGCACCCGAGCACCTTCGACACATTGGCCATGGACCCAGAGAGGAAGAGGGACATCATGGAGGACCTCCGGGACTTCGTGGCCGGGAAGGCCTTCTACCAGCGGACAGGCCGAGCCTGGAAGCGGGGCTACCTGCTCTACGGCCCACCCGGGACGGGGAAATCGAGCATGATTGCCGCCATGGCCAATTTCCTTGGCTATGACATCTACGACCTCGAGCTGACCAAGGTGCACTCCAACTCTGAGCTCCGAGAGCTCCTCATGCAGACCAGCTCCAAGTCCATCATCGTCATCGAGGACATCGACTGCTCGGTCAATCTGTCGAAAAGGTTGAAGGCACAACAAGCCACCGCGCCTCAGAGCTACTGCGACACTGGCGCGCCTGATGCTGCGTGCGGCGGCAACAAAGACCGGAACAACGACACAATTACCCTCTCGGGACTGCTCAACTTCACCGACGGCCTGTGGTCGTGCTGTGGGAGCGAGAGGATCTTCGTGTTCACCACCAACCACATCGACAAGCTCGACCCGGCATTGCTCCGGAGCGGCCGGATGGACATGCACATCTACATGAGCTACTGCTCGTACCCGGCGCTCAAGATCCTGCTCCGGAACTACCTGGGCTGTGAGGGCAAGGACCTCAGCGAGGCGGCGGCAAGCGATCTCCAGGAAACTGTCGAGAGGGCCAAGATGACGCCGGCTGACATAAGCGAAGTCCTGATCAAGAACCGGAGGAACAAAGAGAAAGCAGTGAGCGAATTGATGGCGGTGTTGAAGGCGAGAGCAGAGAGGAACGAGAAGTACGGAGGGATGAGAGGGGAGCGCGAGCTGAACAGGGTGGAGGAGGAGGAAGAAGAGGAGCAAGAGAAGAGGGCTCTGGAGATCCCCAAAGAAGTGAGAACTGTGACGACGATTCTTGCAAGAAAGTTGAGGCTGATGAAGCGAAAAAGAGAAAATGAGACGGAAAACAAATTGGTAAAGCGTGGGGTTTGACCAATGGGGACACGTGTGGGTGTCTAATATTAAACGCTCCGAATTCGTGTCTTACTACGAAAATATAAATAAACCTCGTGCCATCCCATGTTGTGTCAGGTGCAGCTTTTGGAAGATGTGCAATGTGCGTAATGTGATTTTAGGTCCATTATCTTATTAAAAAAAGAATTCTGCTCTTTTATCTTAATTTTTTTATTCTTTGAAGATCAAATTATCCCTTCTTTCGCATGAAATTGCGTTTTATATTCTTTATAAGATGACGAGAGATTTCATTTTTCACTTGACTAAGGAAAGTATGTTGACACATGAATTCTTGCGGACAAGCCTAGTATACATTTTTTGTAAAGATAAAAAAAATGACAGTAAAAGAACAAAAAATTGATAATTAAAAAAATAAATGAACAAATAAATAAATAAGAAATAAGAAATCATGAATAAAACACCAATCTTCCCTGCTGAGGAAATACTCTCTCTCTTCCCTACTGGAAGCCCACTGCTCTCTAATAGATAGATTGACCGGAATGGCAACGCCGGAGAACCTGAGCATGGGCCAATATGTATACTTAGTAGAGTTTACCAAGGGTACGAAGAGATGGTCCAATTCATCGCGAGCGTCCCTCCCAGCCTCCTCATTGGACGCCCCTTGTTTGCCGCCGAATCGATCCACTGGAAAGTTGCTGCCGGGCAGCGTTATTAGGATCTCGGTCTTCGATATTGCGAAGGAGGAGTTAGCGCCAACTCCGTGCCTGGAGCTTCGAGACGCCCACCTGGTGGACATCCGGGGAGTTCTCAATGTCACACTTAGAATCCATCAAGAATAGAGGAATGACGCGGCTGTCCTTCCATCCGAATGATACAGACTCAAACACAACCAACAACTTATTATCAAAAGAAATATATACATCTCCAACTAACAACTAAACCTAACAAACTCATCTCAATCATATACGGTTTAGAAATATACAACTAACTAAGCCCATCATCCACAAAAGAAAGCCACCAGCATAAAAAAGGGGCGACCTTTTTGAGCGGTTTCCCATTCTTGAGAAATGGAAATTGTGGCCAACAACGCCGTCAAATCATCTTGGATGAAGGTGCCGTAAATTGCTAGCGGTTTCCATAAGAATATAAGTCTCTCTGTTATTTGATGTGTGACTTGGGTTCTTATTGTGGTACATCCATCCGAATGATACAGACTCAAACACAACCAACAACTTATTATCAAAAGAAATATATACATCTCCAACTAACAACTAAACCTAACAAACTCATCTCAATCATATACGATTTAGAAATATACAACTAACTAAGCCCATCATCCACAAAAGAAAGCCACCAGCATAAAAAAGGGGCGACCTTTTTGAGCGGTTTCTATTCTTGAGAAATGGAAATTGTGGCCAACAACGCCGTCAAATCATCTTGGATGAAGGTGCCGTAAATTGCTAGCGGTTTCCATAAGAATATAAGTCTCTCTGTTATTTGATGTGTGACTTGGGTTCTTATTGTGGTACATTGAAATCTCATTATCATAATCGCCTGGTAAGCGGCCCACTTACAGTACACAATTTGATTATGTTACATAAGTGAAACTTACGGATTTTTTGGACACTCCCGATATCGATGGAACTATCATTTGTGATAATATCGCCGTCACAGGCTCCCGTGTTTTGGACTTGCTCTTGATAGTAAAAGGAAATCACATAGTGGAAAAGCAACATACTTCTACAATGAACTAACGATATCGCTCTGTACTTTTTATTTTTTTTGGTCGGTTACATCTCCCTGTACTTTTTTTTTTGATCGGACATCTCCCTGTACTTGAAGTCTTTCTTATTTGTGCAGCGAGTATTAGTCAAGACCAATTGCGAGCAATTTAACGTCTTCCACTTTTCCCAATACAAAGAGACGAGTTATTTGCCATAGTCCAGTTATTTGAGGAGGAACGTTCGGTCGAAGCTAATGGCACCAGCTGGTAAGGAGGAGTCAACCTGGCCTTTGCCCTTTGGACCTAGCTTTCAAAGAAAACCCTGAAAGCCCATTTCGATTATGTAAGATCCGATTTGCCGGCCCAAGTAGCTCATTTGGCGAGTTTTGGGCCTTAACCTTTTTGTTCAATTAAGTACCTCAACTATCGAGAATCAACTTGATGTTGTATTTTGGTTAAATCAAGCCCCATGTCGTGTTTTCTGCTGGTGTGTACTATCATCTGAGCAGTTGTTAGAGAAAAATAATGACGCAGTCAAATGTGTGGTAGTGGTGGTTCTCAACATGTAGTAGTGGTGGTGCTCGATTCACACCGGTGGAAAACTGAAATCACAGTTTGCATGTAGATGATGAAAAAGAGAGATGACATGGATGCATCTCGATCGTAGGATGTGTGTTTGGTGACTTAGCATAAGCTCAAGACTTGGTGTCCAACTACTGGCAACTTAATGGCATACTCGTCCATGTTAGTAACATTAATAATTTTTGTTAATTGAAGGACCAAACTGAGCTGATTTTCAAGAGTTCAGATTTAAAAAAAAATTGGGTAACAGTTGAACAACGAAGACAACTTTAGTACTTGTGGTATCGCTACACCTTAATAAGATTTAAATGTCAAATGGAACTAAAAGTGCCATAACTTTTGTACGGCGCTCACTTTGATGTTAAAATTTTTCGTCATACCACTTAAGTGTCACTTTTTAAAATAAAACAATCACTTAAATAACAACTCCGATTGGGAATGCTAAAAACCCGACGTGGCAATTTTTTTTCAATTTCCCTAAATGTGGCTCGCCGGTGAGCCCAATCAGAATTAATAGCCCCTAAATGATGTCGTCTACATGTTTTGCCCCAAACATAAATCCTAATTCAGACAAATCAAGACATTTCCCAAATTGTTGAAACCCTAATTCGGTAACCCCAAAATTAAGAGCTAAATCTTGCAACGGAGAGCAGAAGCAGATTAAGCGGCTCCAATTTGTTTGAACAAAGTGAAGGTGAATATTATTGCTATTGTGGGCTCAAAAGTGCAAGATAAACATTTTGGACTAGGTTGAATCCCGAAAGAAGATTCCATGGATGCGCTAGGTATAAAGAAGGGTCGTAGTGCAAATATTTCAAATGGGTTGATGCGAAATTTTTAGGCCGAACAATAGAGGTGATCTCAGAGGTACTTTATGGACGATATCAACCTACACCTTCATTAACGAACAAGTTGGACGATGTCGACTCAGTGCAAGCAAAAATGAAGGCTTTTGCATCTCTGGCCAACCATTTGAAGAAGAACGTTTTAAGGATGAAAAGTGAAAGAAAGTTCTATGGAGTGTTGATTGTGTTGTTGTCTTATTTGGACTATTTTATGCTCAAATGTAAACTAAATGGTGAGAAAAAACTTCTCAGTTTACTTCAATTAAAGATCAGTGGAATGGGTAATTGTTTTGGGGCAATGAAAGCTAGTTATTGCCTTGTTTTGTACTTGAAATGTTGCTTTGTTGCAATTTCTGCTGCAAGGAATAATTAGGTTCACGAGTGATTGTTTGAGTGCCAAACTTTGTTAAAAGTGATCATGTGAGTGCTAATTTTTTGTTAAAAGTGATCACTTGAGTGCCAATTGTTGTTGAAAAGTGATTGTTTGCGGTTTTTAACTTTTTAAAAAGTGATATTTTGGTTTCACTTTCGGAATACTTGCATTACCGGCTTACAAAGAAACATGAGGACCATTTGCTTGACAATACACATTTTATACAAACTTCAAAACACATAAAAAGCAAGACTGCACCAGTATGGACCAATTTCAACAAGTCTAGTGTAGTCTTGTACTTGTACCATCAGCACAAAACTACAATAGCACGTTTTTAACAAGTTTAGCACAAGACTAGCCAAAATGCAAAGAAAAACATAACAACCATATGTAGCACTAGCTTTGACAAAAAAAAATGTAGCATTAGCCAAAAGCAAGACAAAAATTGGAACTGCCAAAAGTATAGAAAAAAAATTATTGCCTTTACATGCAAGTGCTTCTTTATATTGAGTTAATCTGAATATAACAAAAACATCCCAAAACCAACTAAAGTCTAGATAACACCATATGCATCAACGGATAAAAGCAAGACAAGAACATAACAAGCCCCATCAGTCAATTTGAATATCCCCTCCCACCAAACAAAACCATGTGCAGCATCCCAAACAACAAAACCAAATTCAGCACCCTTACACCAGTTTATCTCAACAACCCCCCATTTCCTTTTCCTTTTCCTTTTCCTTTTGATGGACTTTTGATTTGATTCATAATTTTTGCACTCTTTCTAATTTGAAATGGAACTGTAGATAATTGAACTAGCCTTCCTTTCTCACATTTTATCTTCTTTGCAGCAACCATTCTCGTTCTAGGAGATCGAGACTAAAAGGTCATTTGGGGGGAGCTCTCTCTAATTGATATTGGCTTTGTGACAGTGGTATTAGGGCCATTGTTGGTGTAAGGATCAGTTGATTGAGATGAAACTGGTGTTGGGTTCTTTGTTGGTGGCTATTTTGGAGCTCGACCCGGTGTCATCTTCTATAGAGCCTATTCTTTGGAGCTACCACTTGTGTTTTTGGAGCTGCCCCTTATGCCGTCTGTTTTGGGGCACCATTTTGTTGATTCTTATTGGATTGTGCTCCACTTGCCGTTGGTTGGTTTGTTTGGGCTTGTCCTTGGGATCTTCTTCTTGATGGAGTCATTGATTCTTGATTTGGGCCACCTTTAGGGATTAGCACCTCTAAACTTCTCCCAAGTTACAACAATATAATCATATTCTCAACAGGATCAAATACCATAAGTTAAATGCACAAGACCTACAAAACTTACATTCAAAATGATCATGCTAGTATTAAAGTATGTAAACAACCCATAACTATATAGCATTATCCTTTTGCCAATAGCCCCTTTTATTTGTTGTGGTGTTAAACTTTCAAGAACATATTCATATTTTCTTCTTCTCACCTAAGAAAGACATAACAAACTTAAACTTTGCCAACATATGGACAAACAAGAACACTAAGACAAATTGTACAACTTACTTGTCATTTTTTCTTTGATTGTGCAAAAGTCGACTCAATGGTTGCCCTGCACCTGGCCCTACATCAGGCCTTATAGTTGGCCCTTCAGCTGGCCTTGCATCATGCCCGTAGTTGGCTTTTCAACCGGCCTTGCATCAGGCTAACAGCAGGCCCTACATCGTTGCATTCTATTGTCTACTATTGATATTGTTGCTTCTTCAATTCACAACCTA